AAAACATCTTTTAATTCTTGCTAGGTTTACTCCAAAGGGCAAGTCCCAGATTGTAAGATCTAACTCTAAGTTCCTCTAGGGAGAAGTTGAATTATTATCACAAAAAACATTAATAATATATTCTTGTCGAGCTTGCTTCGCTAAACCAGTTAAATTTATCAACTGTATGCTTAGCTCATATTCTCCACTCAAACTTTTAAGGATGGGTCTCGAATCTACTGGATCAAGGAATTTATTTTTTCTTATATGAGCTCGGAATCTCTGACATTCTAAAATTGGCTCTGGGCGATTCCTTGAACCAACTGTCTGAAAATCATTGTATTCAATTGATTTGAAAAAATTGTTCTGCAACTAAATATTTTATTAGTTGTAAATTAATTAATTCAAATATTAAGCAATGATGTTAATATAATAGTTACCTGAAGGAATTTCTTACAATTACATGCAGCAATTTGCCAATGACGCATTTGTGGAATAGGAGGAATTAATGACTTTAGAGTTTTGTTTATTTCTTCCAAAATCGCATCTAATCCTTGATGCTGATTAAAAAATCTTGATCGTGAAACCACGCAATTTCTTTCTATAATATCACATACTATCGGATTAAGCTGCATCAGTTGCAACTTCTATTATGCGATATATAGGATGATGGCGTGCTGACCATATTGGAGAAAAAACCCTTTTCGCAGCTCTCTTCAGTAATACATTGTTTCTCCTAATAGCCACTCTGTAATTAATAATCGCTTGCAGATAACAGAATATCTATTTAAATTGATAAATTAATAAATTAGCAAATTAAACAATAAATAAATACAATATTTATCAAAAATAATGCAACATAAAAGTTTTGAGAAATAAATAAACAATTGGAATATAATATGATATATGGAATTCGAATCCACTTAGCTTTAATTATACGTGAAACAGATCTAGATATTCCTGTTCCAAAGCACTTCTCTCGATATATTTCAACTTGAAATAATTCAACTGTTGTGTAATTTCGCAGACATGCATGTCCGTGAAATCATGTGATAATTTAAACAAAAATTGGATTTAAAAAAAAGATAGTCAACTCTTCTATATTTTGTTCAAAAAAAATCCAAATTCTTTTCAATCGAACGAATTCTTTGATATGCTGTGTTAGGTGCTTGAAAACGATCTACTGTATTTAAGTGCACTATAAAATTTTTAATGTTATAATTGCACAATCACATTTACTTACATAGCCATACATAAAATAACTTTGAAAATATAAGAAATAACTGCTATATACAATTAAAGCTTAAGACTTTTTGTTACATATCTTTGAGAGCATAAATTTTAATCAATTAAAATTTTACCTGTTCAAACTTTATTTGATAGAGCAGATCATTTTGCTTTTTTGTCCAGGCCAAATAACCCTCTGCCGATGGATTTAAACAGTCTTTAACGTATAGCCACACTAACTCCATAGCCATTGCTTGGCGGTAGATATTACAAACTAAGTCCCAAGCTTTGTGATGATTATGACATTTCTTGAAATAAGCAAGCTGACTCTTAGTTTTATATCCTTGACACATAGCGAATTGTTTGAGATCGATATTTCTTTTATAAATAATTAAAAGTTTTATTTGTAATATTAAAACTTTTTAAAAAAAAAGAAATTTATAAAAAAATTTTTAATAAAAATTTAAAATTTTTTTAAGAAAATTTTTTTTAAAAAAATCATTTACTTACCAATTTAACTCCACAAATACACACAGCATATTCATTTCTTCATGCAATTGTCCAGGAATAAGAATCAGCCATGGGTATTTATTTTTTATTTTAGTTATGTAATGGTACCATCACATGTTACGGCTACTCATTTTCATATTCCGCTCTTAATTCCTGTTATTTTTTCAATGTGAAGAACTTTTTCAACATTTGCAATCGAATTAGAATTAATATTAAGGGGATCAGAGATAAATAGGTCAGGAGTATTAACTTCTTGATCGGCAACTGATTTTTGAGTAATACTAATTTTTGACATGGTAGATAGGTTATTTTCCTTTTCAACATTGTAAGGTTTAAAAGGAATTGGTTGGTCTACTGTATCTTCTTTCAAATCGGAAGTACTTTGTTTCATCAATTCTGATAAATTAGGTAGCCGAGCTCCACATTTTGGACAAACATGCTTTCGATTTTTGATATTCAATTCATTACAAATAGGACACTATTTATTGCGACGATTATTTGATCCTAAGCTATCGACAAAAGAATCAATCTTATTAGTTGTAGATGATTTTTCTTAACATAATAAATCAATAATTTCAGAAAGAAAAATATGTAATTCTTTATTCAACACTTCATGCATCTCAGACGTAATGTCAGATAGGCTTTCGTAGTGTGACCTATTGAGGGAATCCAATATTCAAGGTACACTTGTATGTTGAATATAATTTTGTGACTCCATATTAAACCCAATAAAACTAGTAACAATATGAAATATTACTGTGTTAGATCCCCGGTCAAGATAGTTTTTTTGTCCCCATTGTTTGTTATCAAATGCCATGAATAAAAGTTCTTGGGGTAAAGGCTCCTCTTCTTCAGATAATTCGCCTAACCAGTTCTGAAACCGAGAATAACATCCCGAATTCGTAATATGACCATCAATATTAATAATAGTCTTGGATCGTGCAATAGAATATTTGATTGCTGATGCTACAAGACTTATTTCTGATACATATTTTCTGTGTCTGGATCCATATATTAAATCGACGGCCATGGCTCTTTTGTAAAGTTTTTCAGCATTCAAAAAATCTGAATCAAGATTATTATGAGTTAGTGTTTCTATAAACTTTACAATAACTGGATTGCATTTACTTAGCCATGTTTGTGGAGAGTAATTTAATAGATTTTTTAAAGAAAATCTAGTACTGTCTCCCATAATAGATTCTATATCCTTGTATAGAGATTCTCGTTCAGTTATTGTGATATCGGTGATTGCTTGTACATGCTTATGTTGGTCACAAAATCGGGAATTCCATTGGTTGTTAAGTTTTTCATTTTCTTCATATAGACCCTGATATAAATCTTTTAATTGAATGATTTCTTCTTGACATTCACATAGTTGCTTCTTCAGAGATAAAATTTCTTGTTTCTGATCTCCTACTTGTTGCTGTAATTTTGTAATCTTATTAATAAGACTTGTTACATAATCCTTATCTTTTTGATCCAAAGTTTTTAATATTTCTTGGGCTTTTTCAAACTCTCTTAGTAGTAACTCGTCATTAGTAATTATCTCTTCAAGCACACTTGAGTTGTAAACTTCATGAATGCTAGAATTATAACCCTCTTCTTGAATACTAAAACTACCGATCTCATGAACACTAGATTTGTGAATAGAAATAGAATCGTCTGAAAAATTAGTATCGATTCGAGACTTTTTGTTTTTGTGAGGAAGATCTCCTAAAAGCCGTTGGTAAAAATGGTCAGCAGCTACAACTTGATTATAATGTTTTTCGCAAATTGAGTAAAAGCTTAAAAAAGATTGAAATTCTATAAGCTCAGGCATAAAAACATGATATAATAAAGCTGATTAGCTGTTTTTTGAGTATTAGCATGTCTCCAAGTTTGTCTTTCTTTCGTTTTGTAAAGTTCTAATTTAAGTGTTTCATGATAAGTACCAACTAAGTTCTTAAATATACAAGGAAGATCTATGGCTTTTGGTCGTTGTGTGGTTTGTGACATTGTTAGATCTAGTAGAAAATACTATAAAATCGTTAATAACTTTGTAGTAATATTACAACTTACACGAATTTATAAGTTTTAAGTTCTCATTTACTTTTTTAATTCGGGTTGATTATGAAAAGATGTTAACTGATTATAAAACTAAAAGTGCTCTACTTTTAGTTCGAATAATTATTAGCTATAGTCTAGTGTTATGAAAATTCTCTACTCTTGATTAAAAAAAATAAAAATCAAAATTCTATAGATTTTTCTAGATTTGATTTCCATATTTGGTAAAATCTCTGACTGTATAAAAGTGCCCAAGTATGGTTATCACATTGATGTTGCCAACAAGTTCCATATATAGTGCTACCTATATTTAAAAACCTGCTATATCTTGGTATTTAGCTACCTACATTCGAACTGATTACACTTTGCCTTTCTTCTAGACTTATTTAAGCAGAATATATTTTCTTCTACTTCTGTATAGCACAAACATATATGCCAATTTACAAAAGAAAGATTTCTTTTAAGAGCTGATTCCTCCTTTCAAACTTATCTCATCTAAAATTTTGATAATACCTTCTTCCGAACTCAATCCACTTAGATCCGAGCAGATTATATTACCTTCTACTTCTATATAAAACTAACATATGCCAAAATTATGAAAGAAACAAATTTAAAGAAAATTTCTAAAGACTTCTTCATAACTGAAAAAAATAGAAATCATTCTAAAAAAAGAAGACAGAACTCAAAAGAGAAAATGAAACAACAATATAAATAAAAATAAATGAAACAAGCAAAAAAAAGAAAAATTAAGCAATCTGACATACTATTATAACCTGTGCCAGGTAATTTAAAAAATTATATCTCTGTTGTAAGACTAACTTAACCTTAAAATTCCCTCTGACCTATTTCTGAATCTTTTTAATAACCTAGTCTATATCTCAAACCAAGTGCTACCACTATGCTAGGATCCGACTAGAGTTGTAGATGAAACTAATTTTCAATAGTACACTGATAGTGCACTAGGTAAAACTGGTGCACCGATAGTAAAACTAGAGTTATAGATGAAGCTAATCTTCAACAATGCACCAATAGTGCACCAAGTGAAACTGGTAAAACTTGTGAAATTAATTAGTTTTACCTGCAACTCTAGATTTAACTCTCTATATATGGTACCAACAATGACAAAGATTGCAACATTTCTGTAAAGGTGCTATTACTTCAGTACTTGTGTCTCAAGCAACTTGCTGCTACCACCAGAGATTTCTTTTTTGACTGGAACTCATTTTAGAGCCTGTACAACGTATTTGTCTCCAAACACGTGGTTGCTATCTACCAGTTCATTTAAATTTAATAAGTAAACAATGCTAATCTTTTGGAAGAGGTAAGCCAAATCCCCACTTTTTATAAAAATTTTTGAAGACTAATAGACAAATGACAAGAGATAAAGAGAGACCTACAGTCAAGACTAGTGTTTCGATCTGTAATTTGACAATTCAAATTGATCCAATAATTCAGTTTAAATACGGATATCCTAATCTGTTTATTTTAACAGATAGATCCATAATAAATATCAGATTAAGGATAAGGATTATATGGATCCTTATCTTAGATATATATAATCTGAATTGCTGCAAAATTCAAATGCTACTGTAATTCACCAACAAGTTCACTTCACCAACAGTTTATTTCACCAATAGCTTATTTCACTAACAAGTTTTTTTTATAAATTACACAACCTTAACTCTAATTCTAACCTGACAATAACCAGAATTACTTTGTTAAATGAGCTGTTAGTGAAATAAACTATCAATAAAATGAGCTGTTGGTGAACAACAGCTGTTTTCATAAATGCTAGAACAGCTAAAAAATTTTCTAATGACTGAATCGATAAGTTACCGAGCTGGAATCAATAAGTTACTAATGTCAGCTGACATCAAAAACTTATCAATTTGGTCATAGGCAACGTTTCAAGTGTCTCAGAATTTACAAAAACAGCTATAATCAAATACTGTAAAGAAGATCCAAATTTAATCTGAATAGTCTTTTAAGAATAGGATCAAAACACTACATATTAGATGTTTAATTACTAGGATTCCCATTATTGAATCTGAATTAAATCTGAATTTGCTAATTTAAATTAAAATTCGAATAAACCGGATATGTTGAAGAGGATCCGAATTTAATCCAAATGGTCTTTTGAAAATAGGATCGAAACACTAGTCAAGACCCACCACCCAACACCTGCTTACCTTTTTTCGGTAAGTGCTAAACTCTGGGCTTGTCAGCAGGTAGTGTATGAGAACTACCTCTAAACAATGAGTACTGAGACTATACAGTGAGTGATAAACTCCGAGCCTGTTGACAAGTAGCATATAAAAACTACTTCTAAACAACAGGTGCTATCTTACTGTCTAGTATATCAAGTGCCAGCTTGTAAGGTCTTTTTTTGTAATAAAATGTTTTTCAAAAAATGTAGTTCAAGTGATTATCAGAAAGAGTTCCCTATAAATATCTAAGATTTTATATTAAAAATATTATAAAAAGCTAAAAACTTAATCAATTTTGCTAAAAAATTAAATGTAATTAAAACTAATTATATATTTTATGAATGAGATTTGCTATATATCATCCTAAATGATTTTATTAAAGTTCATCCCATATATAAATATAATTTATTATTTAATACACATATATTTTATTTGAATAACATAATAATTAACACCTATATATATGTTCGCAGACCTTTGGCCTGCGAACTTCTATTTTAACTAATCAAATCCCAGCAAAAGTACTTTGCTAGAAGATAAGTTATGCATTGTACAAATCTAATCTTAACTACGATGTACTGCCTTATACATAACAAACATTTCATACCACACCAAACAACATAAAATTACACAGAAACCAACACACTAACATGGTGCACCGACAATGACACAATAATAATTTCAAGAAAATAGACAGAAAATCACAATCACCAAAATCACTCAATGAAATCATTACCACCAATGACGACCGAAAGTCTCGATGAGATCACAATCACCAAAGGCAAAACTTCTATTAAGACACGACTTCTACAACAACTCATACAACAATCCGATGATGACTTCAGTAATGATGCCATTAACAGTTACATAAAAAGAAAAGATGTTATTGTTAGATATAAATATACTAGAATAATAAAAAAAAGGAAAGAAAAGAAGGATTGATTATCATAGATGATTATTGATCATTTATATGTCAGATGATTATGAATAATGAGATGATTTTAAGAAAATATCTTTATGAATATATAAATTAAAATATTAAAATTTAAAAAAAAATTTATTTAAATATTTTTTATTTTTATTCATTTTGCCAAACTACTTTATTTTCATTATTTAATATTTTTACAAATTTTATAAATTAGAAATACTAATTTTATAATATTTATTTTTTATAACAATTTTTTATTATATAAATAATTTTTTTTTATTTAAAACAAAAAAAAACAAAAACTGCTATATATAGTTTAACTAACTAAATATAGCAAATTAATTACTATATATAGCAACAAAATTTCTATGTAAACTAGTGCTCTGCAAATTCAAATTAAAGTTTGAATCCCAAATCAATTATTTGATCAAATCAAATATTTGATTAACCAAATAAATCAAATAAGTGATTTATATGGGTTTGTTTCATGTGTATATGCAAAATCCTTTAAAATAGTAAATCTGCTATAAGTTAGAGCTGAGTCTAGTAGTGCTGCTGCATTGAGGTAATTAATTACAACTAATTGTAGTAAAGTTGAAACTTTTTGGTAGTATTGATATATAACCTTATTGTATTAAATACTATGCTATAGAGAGTAATTTTCTGTAATATAGAATATTATATTATTTAACAATAATAAACTAAACAAAATAAATATAGAATTAATTTATTACATATGCATAAATAAGGCCATATAAATTTATAAATTGGTTTTTATAACTTGGCTGGATTATAAAAGCCAAACTGAAAATTAATATTTACTAAAATGATTTGTATATAATAGTAAGTATTTATATTAGTTTAATGTATTTGATAAAAATATAACAAATGCAGTTTTTTAGCTTTATTAGTTTATTGTCTATGGTGATTTGCAATTTTTTATTCAAGTCGACTTGCTTAGTCAATTTTATTTATTAATTGATTAAAACAATCTAAGTATCTATTATTAATTTCTTATTTGTGCTGATTTAACTTAATTTTTTGAAAATTATATACTAAATATTGATTCTATGTAGCAAGAATCCGAGCATGGGTAAAATTAGGGCTGCTTAAAGTCCATTCTCTTCAGTTCAATAATGGTATTGATAAGAAATTGTTCTAAGTCTGTGCATATAATGCAAATTATCATATAGCCACTATAGTAAATATTTATGAGCCTGTGTGCTTAGACCAATAAATAGTCTTTATTCTCGTGCACTAAATTAATGTGAATGAATGACCTTAAATGGTAAAATATTCATGAACTTGGCCTTTTAAAGCATATTGGTTCAGTTCAGCTAAATCATCACACTTTTCATAATCTTTTTCTTCCACTAGTCAATCTAATATTTTTTGCTTTTTTTCTAATTCGTTTTTAGTATTCATATTTTTTTTTTCTTTTCCGTTCTTATTTAATAATGTTTTTCTTCGAAAACTTGGTAAAATTTTACACACTTTACACATAATTTATCATTCTCAAAAAGTAAGGATAAAAAACTAGCACTAAACAAAACAAATCATTGGGTATCTGATTTTAAATGCATAGATTATCATACCCATATACAATATTTATGCATATAAATAGCAAATATTATAAACTTGGATAGCTTAAATGCTCATTATGTTTATAATCTAAACAATTTATGAATAATAAACAAACTGAGATAGCATTTTTAATATTTAGATTAATGAATTGTTTTTTATACTCAAGAACTAAATTATTGCGAATAAAAGAACCAATTCGCAGACTTAAATAACTTATTTTAAAGACTTAGATTTATAAATGTTTTCTATACTTATGTACTAATTAAAGTGAATAAAATAATTAATATTTATGAGCATGAACTTGATTAAATACTAAGATTTTTTTTAATTTTCCAACAGCATGATCACTGATGGACCGCAGTTAAGCATCCTTTATTTATTAAGATCTCATATTATTATAGTGAATTTCTAAGTTACACATATTAGACACTGTGTATGTCACCATCATATGGTGTTCCCTAGTGTTTTTATATATCATGTATTTGGTAAGTCTATCTAAGGTATCTTGGGTCCCTGATTAAATACTAATATTAATATAAATATGCAGTATATTCTTTATACTCACACGCAAAATATAAATATGTAGCAAATATTATAATCTTTAGTTGATCACTATCTACTTGGATGTTCTGGTTCAGCTCCTAAAAGTCATGGTTAGCTTAAGCTATGCTATTAAAGCATGATATTGTAATGTGGTTTCAAAAGTAATGTAACTTTTCAATAGTTTAAAAATAATATATCATTAATTTGAGTTAGTTTAATCTATATTTAATTCTAGGTTATTATCAGACTTGGTTGAGAAATCTAATCTGAGTTATTCAAATAGTTGTTATATAGTATAAACTTTACCTATTTATTATTGTATGTTATAATGCCTGCAACTTTAAGTGACTTGTGGATGTGATTATTTAGACTGCAATTGACAATCCTGCTAACAGGTGCATTGGTGATCATATTTATCTCACTAACTTCTAAGCTTATTTAAAACTTATTATTATTACTATAGACTAATTTAATGAGAAATGATAACTCATCTTAGTATCAATTTTAATAGTGAACTAGTTTATGATCAACTTTGGCAGCATCAAGGTCAACTGTAAACTAGTTCATGATCAACTGTAAGCTAATTTATGATCGACTTTGGTCAACCATGTACTAGTTCATGATTAACTTTAGTGGCATCGGGGTCAACCATGAACTAGTTCATGGTTATAGTTGTTAGACAAAACCTTTTTTGCTTGGTGACGAAAGATGAAACCTAAACCCAAAATGATGAAAGGCGAAACCTCAAACTCTGCTGATGAAACCCAAATTCAAAATGACAAAACCTTAGTGCTAAAAAAAAAAAAAAACCTGAATTATGAAACTTTATAATAATAGTGAATCCCTACTTCTCTTGCTAAAAAATTACTAGTGAAATTTTGGTCTAGATGTAGCTATCAATAAAAATAATAAAAATATCTCTATAATTTAGATATTTAACACATCAAATAAGGCTTTTTATTTTTTTTATTTTTTTTTAATTTTCTGACAGCATGATTGCTGACAGACCACAGTTAAGTGTCTTTTATTTATTAAGATCTCATATTATTATATTGAATTTCTTAGTTATACATATTAGACATTATGTATGTCACCATCATGTGGTGTTCTCTAGTGTTTTTATATGCCATGTATTTGGTAAGTCTACCTAAGGTATCCCGGGTCCCTGATCCTGCGGTGTAGGACCCCTGACTTTGAGATTCGCAGTTCCCCACCTATTACAGCTTTATCATTCACCTTTATTTATTATAGCTATCATACCTTGATTCCATAATTAGACTTGTCCTCCTTATATTTAACACCTGCATACTAGTGTTCCAAATTGTTAGTTGAAAAACCAAATAGTTGAGGTTAGAAAATTTTTTAATCAACTAACCAACTAATTATTCAATTAATATAATTCCGAAATATTTCACTTATTTAGGATAATTCAGGCTAAAATCTGACATGATATATATAACCGGTTAGTTGCCAACTATAGTTGGCAACTAACCGGTTAGTAAAATTTTAACAATTTGGAACACTACTGTATACTTACATTCCCGGTTTCATCTCTGTGTTACCAGTTTCGATCTTCAAACCTACTGCCTAATCGGCCTTTCAGTTTTCCAAACCTACTCCCACATACTTTCGTATTTACCAGTACTTCCTTATACAATCATACCACTTGAGGTCTGTTCGGATATCAACTGTCTCCTGCAGGAAGTCCAGAATCTTCTTACTTCATTGCACAGGTACTACACATCTTTGTTCCTATTATGGGTTCCTATTAAATGTTCAAATCGGGAGATTCTCATGTTAATAACTTTCTATATGTCAGATTTCTTTCCTTTTCTGGATATTGCCTGGCCGTACCGTGACTATACCTTGCAACCCTTATTACCAAACGTGGTTCTAGCAGAGAACAATTCTCCTTGTGGGTTTCGAACTTATGACCTTGTGTATTGGGACCTGGGCACACTAACCACTGTGCAATGACCCACAGGTCTAGGCTTTTTATTTATATTTATTACTGAAGATGTTTATTGACTTGTACATATATTTAGGTTTTAAAAAACCAATTACAGAAATTATAAATAGCAAATAAGCTATTTTCATCTATGTTTAATGCCGAAGATGTTTATTTGCTTGACCCGGCTTGTATATTTAGGTTTTGAAAAGCCAATTACAGAAATTTTATAATTGAAGATCTGAAAACAATGTATATATGTACCTCTTATTAATTTTTATTATCTGTGCTAATTTATTAATAAAAAGTCTTTTATTGATTTAGCCAATAGGCACAATAATTTTTTATTTGATATAGATATACAGAAATAAGTTGAATAATCTTAATTGTACTAATTTATTTAATTAATCAATTACTTCTTAAGTTACTTATTAAAATTGATACAGTTGTATGTTTTAAATTTTAGTCTTATATAAACATAAATGTAGAAGCCAGTGGCACCCTTACTTACACTTGCTTTCGTTATTAGTTTCATACCCTTTGTAGTTTCATCAATTTCGTCAGTTTCATCATCTTTCATCAGTTTCATCACCTTTCATTATTTGAGATTTTAGTTGATGAAAGACAAAACTAGGTTTCACATTTCGTTAGTGCAAAACCTCAAGGTTTCAACCATGAACTAGTTTACAAACAACCATGAGCTAGTTCACAATCAACTTTGGTGGCATCAAGTCAACCGTGAACTAGTTTATAATCAACTTTGGTGGCATTGGGGTCAATCATGAACTACATCAGGGTCAACTATGAACTAGTTCATGATTATAGTTATTAGACGAAAGCTCAGGTTTCATACTGACAAAAGTTGAAACCTAGTTTGACTTTCATCAACTAAATCTCAAATGACGAAATGCAAAACTGATGAAGGGTGATGAAACTAGCGAAGCTGGTGTAATAATTAATTTTTCTTGTGTCTCCTCACTTCTGTATTAGTTTAATTCTTTAAGTCATCACCTATGTCCATATGTATATCATGTTAATCTTATCTTAGTAGTATTAGGCATTATTGTATATTCTTAGTAGCTTATTTCATGCAAGAGTATTTATGCTCCAAATAACGAGTATATGTGCTTGATAAACTTGTAATCATTGTACCTTGAGTAAATGTGGAGTCTACAAGATCCCCATGATGACATTATATAAAATTAGAATGTATATAAGAGTGCATCTTCATCTTTAGTTAAGGATAATATTCGATCTCCCAAAATTCCTCTATAAATAAAGGTTACTTATATTTACATTCTTTTTTATAATAAATTATGAATATCCGAATATCATAATTTATTGCTCCATCATGTGACCCTTCTAATGTCAACCATTAGAGTTAAACTCGGCATGACAATATCAAGCTCTCCCTTACAATAGTTACACTGGCAAAAGGTGATGAAAGTAACAAAGCTGACAAAACTGCAAAGGGTAATAAAACTAATAAAGGATAAAGAAGCAGAAAATGTTGTTGTAACTTATTGAAGATAATGCGAATAAAAAATAAATTACAAAATAGAAATTTACAAAAATTAATTTAGACGATGCTAGTTTCGCCCCATATGAAAATTTCTAAAATGTCTGACAAAATTCGTAATTGCCCTTATTTTAGGCACAATCTGAAAAGTCCAAAGCTATGATTGGTCATGTTCAAAAAGTACTCTAATCATATGAATTTTTTTTGGCTATAATTCTTGTTAATTAGACAATTGTACATTTAAGTAGCTTTATTGCCCAGTTTCAGCTATTGTTAAAGCTCCCAAAACTGATATGTGGTAACAGATCTTGTATCAGTATTAAGAGGCCACCAGATTTGATAATATTATAATTTACTGGATTTATATTGTTGAACCTTCCAAAACTAATCCTGTCAAATCTAATAAAAAATCAATTCACAAAGTCTTTTGCTGCTATATGAATCTAATAACTTAGTATTTTATATAATTAGGTTATATAACTTACATCAATACCAAAAAATTGCAACATTACTACAATTAGTTGTAATTAATTACCTCAATGCAGCAGCACCACTAGACCCAGCTCTAACTCATAGCAGATTTATTATTTTAAAGGATTTTGCATATGCATATTAAACAAACCCATATAAATCACTTATTTGATTTATTTGGTTAATTTGATTTGGCCAAATATTTGATTTGGTTAAATATTTGATTTGATCAAATAATTGATTTGGGATTCAAACTTTAATTTGAGTTTGCAGAGCATTAATGTAAACTTTTATAAATTTCAATAGAAAATTCATTTAAACAACTATATATATATATATATATATTAAAAATTTTCCAGCCTAACAAAAGCGGCCAAAACACTGGTGGCATCTTTTTATTGAAATATTTTAATAAATAATTTTCTATTTATATATTAGATATTTACATATTTTTCTATTTGTTTGGCTAATAGAGGAATTAAGGTTCAAAGCCTTAATTTCTCTTGAGACCCTACTGCTAATGATTGCCGGGATAGAAATTTTTGATCTAATATTGTTCCCTATTTGGAATTGATATACCAGCACCAAATTTCATAGACTGCCGTTATATTCAACCACTGGACTGTTGTATGGAGCCTTTTTTGAGAAATGTTTTTTTTCGTATATATGTCCTCTATAAAATTTGGTATTGTAGAGTTGTCTTGTGTTTTCAAAAACTTGTAGACTTCTGTCCAGATTGACTTACTTATTCTGTATTCTATAGCAAAATGTTCTGGGGTCTGGATACTATCCTCACACCAAGGGCAGGCTCCCGACTCTAACTGAGATATTTGTAAATCCTGTATTCCAGTGGCAAGGCTCTATAGTCAAGTCTTCATGTAATATCTCTCTTTTTATTATCGATACCTCTACAGGTAATCCAATTTATTGGAGTATTTTCTTTGAGTATGAAGGTTGGAGAGACTGTGCCAGACGAATCTCTTAAAAGGTTTACTAGATATTTAGTCCAAAGATTACTACTTATTTTCCCTTTAATATATATATTTTCTCTAGACTAAGGCCATGGTGAAAGGGAGGAGACTGAACCCTCTACTTTATTCCAGGCTAGTACAAAAAGTTTCCATTCCAAGGGCCAAGATTTGGATCTTACTAGATTTTTGGTGAAGATTTGTAATACTGTGGTATTTCTTTTATCACTTAAGGATTGTGTAATCTTTGATCTTTCTATCTTTGCCTATAGTATCTCCTGTTATTAGCTTTAGCATGTTGTGATTATCCTAGCCTCTAGTATATTCCCAACTATTGGGGCTTGAGGGCCACCTTTTTCATAAGAGAGCTGATAAGTTGCATATCTTGGAAGCATCTTGGAATTGCCCTTGATCCAAAGGGTCATTAGATCATTTATCTCTGATATTTGTTTTTTTCCTTGGAGGGAGAATATAGGCTATGTACCAAATGCGGGAGAGTATTAGAAACTTTGCAATTAAAATTCTACCTTTAAAGGAGAGATTTCTTGCTGCTAGTTTGGAAAGCATATCCTTAAGTTTGGTAATTGTAGAGAGCTATAAGTCTTTTTTTGGTTGTCTATTTGTATAAATTTCATATTCTAGTAGCTTGAAGGTGTCCGTCTCTTCTAATTAGCTCTTCTTGCCATTATTGTAAGTAGTATAATTTTTGTCTTTTGGTTATTAATCTTTGCACTTGAGGCCTTTTTATATAAGTCAAACAACCTTTGTGTTTTAAGCCAATCTGATAAACTTCCTATTGTTAAATCATCTGCATAGGCTATAGATTTGAATGTCTGGTTGTGTAAGGATATGCCTTGTATGTGCTTGAAGCAAGGGTTCAAAGGCCAAAATATAAAGTAACAGTGAGAGAGAGTCTCCCTGTCTTACCCCTCTTCCTACTCTGAAAGGCTCTGATAAGGAACCTAATTCAAATATATGAGCCTCTTGGTTAGTAGAGGTTCTCGACCAAATTTCTAAATTTCAAGTTAAAATTCATTTTCTCAAGGACTAATTGTAGGAAGGTATGGTCAATATGGTTAAAAGCTTTTTGTTGGTCCACTAGTAAAAGCCAATGTTGCTTGATGAGGTCAGTCTGATTTCTCATTATTGTAAGCGCATCTAACGCTGTATCTGTTATTGACCTTCCTGAAACGAAACCCTGTTGGTGAGCTGGGATTACTAGGCTGCAAATTTTATTTAATCTAGTGGCTATAATCTTCATAAAGATCTTATCACAGTTTACCAAAGAGATCGGTCTCCAGTTGTCAATGTTCTTTAGATCTGTTGATTTCTTTGGTATAAGAGTAATTAAGTTTTTATACCATGATTTGGGCAAGAGGCCTGAATTAAAGATGTGGTTAAAGACTGTTTCTAAAACAGGAACAATGTCATTTTCAGTTTGTTTATAGAACTCATATATAAGGCTATCCAGCTCAGAAGATTTGTTACTTGGAAGTTTCCTAATTGTCTCAACTATTTCTTCTTGCATAATTTCTCATGAAAGTTCTGTTTTCTGAGGATGGGATAGTAGGAAGATCATTTGTCAGAGTTGTTGCTACATTCAAATCAATACTTTCCTCCTTGTAGAGCTTTGCATATTGTTCTTTGATATATGATCATTGTCAAACTCAGGTGGAACTTCATAGTCTCTGATATCTTTGAGTGCTGAGCAATTAGTTCTGGACTTATATCTTGAGAAGAAATATCTTGTTGACTTTTCTCCTTGCTCCACCCAACTAGCCTTGGAGTGTGCTTGCCATCTGTCTGCTAGTTGTAGCAGTTCATCTTGAATTTGAAGATTTAGATCATTAACTGTGTATATAGATGCTAGGAGAGGCAAGTTCTTATGATTGATTGAATGCATATTTTGTACCAGTCCCAGTTTGCTACTAAGAAAAGGATTGGATTTCTGCTATGATCTCTTTTTTCTATGAGTTTATTTTTTGAAACAGTGTTTGTTGAATCTTCAAGATGTTGGACTCTTCGGTTTGTCATTGAGATTTAGAGTGCATTTGACTATCAAGTGATCTGAGTTGCCAAATAATATTTTTGTTTTTTCTACAAGCAAGACATAATTTTTATTGATAAAGATATAGTCTAATCTAGTAGCCATAGTTTGGTTGTTCTATGTATTCTGGAAGAAAGTCAGGAAAGGGTTGCTCTCTTCAAAAGATGCTGAGTCAACAAAATTTTTTAAACTGTATGTGCATTACATCTGATTGTGCTAGTACTTAACTAACTCGGTTTGTAGTGTTCCAAATCGTTAGTTGGAAAACCGAATAGTTGACAACTTTCCAACTAACCAGAACTAACCAACTAATTATTCAATTAATATAATTCTGAGATATTCCACTTATTTGGGATAATTCGGAATGATTTCTTGGATTTGATTGGCTAATATCTGAAAATATCATATGATATACGTAACCGGTTAGTTGCCAACTATAGTTGGCAACTAACCGGTTGGTAAAATTTTAACAATTTGGAACACTATCGGTTTGTCTCTGGGTTTATATTGGTGTTAAAGTCTCCACCCAATATGTTTATCAATTTTTTATCATAAAGTGGTGTCTACCTTTCAAAAAATTCACTTCTGTCCTTACTATTTGGAGGAGCATAAACATTGATGACTTGGAAGAGGTAATTCTTATAAGCAATTTTTGTTGATATGACCCTCCCTTCATGAGATATCTGAGAGTTTGAAAGTTTTATATCTTTCTTGCTAGCTAATATAGCTGTTTTATCAGCCCAAAATGAGTTGAATGACCAGGAAGTCTCTTGTATTCTAGTTCTCTGTATTTGTTTCTTGTAAAAGAATTATGTCTAAATTATATGATTTTTAGAAAGTTAAAGTTTTCTGTTGTTTTTCTTAATTGTTTAACCCCTTTATATTAAGGGTTGCTATGTAAACTTTTTTGTTTACTGATATAAAAAACTATTTTAATTAAATAAGGAAGAATACCCTTTCTAGCCCTTTTGTATAGAAAAGTTTTTATGTGAACTTGTCTAACTTTGTTGTTAATGATCTTTTTTTGTTTCTTCTTATTCATCACCAAAATAAAGCCCTCTTCATCAGCATCCATTGATTCGTTGTCATGGGACTTGGAGGATTTTTCTTGATTCTTATAAGCTTAAACGAGATTATTTAATGAAAGCTCATCCCTTGGGATAGCCAGTTTCTGGGACTCTAGGGAGTTTAGTTCTGGAGATTGTGTGTAGACAAAATCTGAAGAGTCAGAGTTCTTGTCTGTCACCACATCTTTCTCTTTAGAAGGATCTTTTTCCTCTGGGGCAGGGAATATAACTGACGATTCAACCAAGTCTTTAATCGCACTTTCTAATGAGGCAATAGTGATCTTCTCTCCTTTATTCAGTGGACTATTTGTTGATTCTAAAAAATTTTCCCTCCTTGCAACTTCCTCTATAGTTGGTCTCAGAACTGGGATTTCTATATTGGGAGAACCAACATTACTACTTTGAAGGTCACTTGTGATTCTGGAGGGGCTGCTCTCCATTCTGTAGTAACCTTATTGTCATCTACATGAGTGAAACATGGTAGATTCTTTTCTAATTCTGGATTATCTGTAGTTTCAAAATTAATAATCCACTGGTCCGTTAAGTAAGGGGTTCCTTCAATCAGGAGAGGTTTGATGGAGTTGATTTTGCCTATATCCTCAAAGGCCTTCTTGATAAGAGTTGAAACCTGATCTCTGTTACCTAATAGTATATTTCTAATCTTGACTGACAAAAAGAATTTTTGAGCATCTGTAGCATAGTCTCTAAGCAATCCAAAACTTGCAAAAACAATTTCTAAGATGTTGTTTAATTGCTACAATATCATTTCCTACACTCTCATGGAGAGAGGAAATGATTTCATTGAATGAACTCAGAAGTTGGGATATGTCGATGATAAGTGCATTATCATTCTTGAACTTGATTTGATCACTCAGGGAGAAAGTAGAGTATGTGGCCTGTCCTCTCATAAGTTTAGGGAAAAGGTTTGCACATTGCCTTGGAGGGGAAGATTGAAGTTTCTTGTCATTGTGAGTAGAGTTAATGGTCTCCACTTGTCTGTATGGGTTATCCTCTGATATTTGTGCCCCTGGGTTTGCATGTTGGTCATATGAAGGGCCCGGGATCACTAGATCGTTTTTGGTTACGTGTTTTGTTTTGATGTTTTGTTTATCCTCTTTGTTTACTTGTAGAGATATGATTGAAAGGTTCCAAGAGTTTTTCTGTTGAACCAAGTCAGCCAAACTTTCTTTCTTGTCTGTTTGCAAAGCATTGAAGGTTGTTTTTATTGTTCTCTTCTTTACTAGTAACCTTAACCGGATTTGTCATTTTGAGTTTTTTGTAAGTTGTTCTTAAAAGTGTAAGTTGAAAGAGTCTTCTCTTTTTTTGGTATGAGAGCCTTGGCCCTTGCTGGGCTTGATTTGAAAGAGTTTTCTTTCTTGTCTGAAGTAATTATTTTGTGTTTTGTTAAAAACTCTATTCCTGCTGAATGTGTATAGAAAAGAGTTGTGTAGATTCCTCTAACTATATTTTTTAATTAAATTCATATATGATAGATTTACGAATACAACTTTGGAAGCTTTAATTCAGAAGCTAAATATAATTCAAAAAGAGAAATAAATTTTTCAGCCCAACCTTTTGTAAGTTTTTAAATTAAATTAACCAAAATTAAAATTTATTAATAATTTTACTAAAATTTAATATAATCGCATAGTTGTAAAATAAATCACAAACCTCAAACTTTACTAAGTTGCTTTTAGAGAATTCTTTACTTCAGCTTAAAATATATATATTATTCTAATTTTCATAAAGCTCCAATAACTTTACTTGAATAGTTTTACTTATATTCAGATTATCCAAAACAAATATCATAACCTTTATAAAATTATAATATTCACTTGCAGTAATTCAAGTAATTTAATTCTTTTTTTAAAAAATCTTTACAATTATGTTAAATCACACCAGTGGTGCCAACACCAGTATATTATATATATGGTGTAATATAAAAATCATTATCAAAACAAATAAACAAAAAATTATTAAAGGGTTAGAGTCCCATAGCCTAGTGGTCTAGGCGCCTAATCCTTCACAGATGAGGTCAACGGTTCGATTATAGCTAGTGGTAATTAATTTAATTAATTACAGTCCGGAAAATTTCCATATTTGGTAATATATATGACGAATTAATTTGTGTAACGATTCTTATTCTAGAATTATTTAAGATCATTGATTATCAAATTTTTATATTAATTTTATCGATTTTTTACATTTTTATTTGTCGAATATCACACAAACTTAATTTGTGGTATACCGAGCGATTAGAAGATTACATAGTTTTATGTGTGTAGTTTTATAATCAGCCAAAAATCAATCAAAATCAACGCACCTTCAACACTTTTAAGTAGTGTCTAAGTGTACGTTTCTTCAAGTGTAGCTCAAATTCTCTTGGAGTGCAGAGG